GCCTTGGTTTTTCCATCTGTAAAATGGGGGTGAAACAGCTCCTCTCTCGTAGGCACGTTGTGAGGCTTGACTGGTTGACTGCACCTCAAGGCCTGGGCTCATTTTCTCTTGGGAATAACGGGGACAAATCTGTGACTCTTACACCGTGATTAGCTTCCCATCCTTTGGACAGGCCTGTCGTGTTTCCTGCAGTTACAAATACCTTCCTCCGGAAAGCTGGTGGGGGGGGGGGGGGAATCTGTGTGCTGTGGTACCCCCATCGAGGGGGACTGCCCGCTACCTGCCTGCCCCTCTCCCCCCTGCCCTACTCCAGTCAAACCTTTGGAACACAGCGGCAAGGACATCCCGATTTGGAAAGGGCTGGCTAACCCAGATCTGGTACACATCCTCCCGTCTGTGGGTCCTCCGGGCCCACCGCCTCCAGCCCTGCCGGCTTCCTCCACGTAGCTCACTTAGTCTGTTTAATTTTCTGCAAGGAGAGCGACACGAAGCGCTGGGCAGCTCTCATCCAGGCCACGCAGGGAGGCATCACGTAACGGGGAGACGGCAAAAGCGTGGGCTTTGGCATCACAGCTCTGGATTCAAATCCCGGCACGGCTGCTTCCTTGCTGTGTGACGCCGGGCAAGCTGGTATCCCTCTCTGAGCCTCAGTGCCCTACACGAGAAGAGCGCCAGCCCTCCAGGCAGTGGCTTTGTTCCGTTGCTGACACTTGCTACATTTTCCTTGTTCCAGTTAGCTCAGGGGGAGCGCTTGGCCCAGGGCGGATGCTCTGTAAGTGAGGTTCACGGTTACCCGAGGCCCAGCATGTGGGCAGCAAAGGGTGCGGTAAGGACAAACCTTCTCTGGGGAAAGCCGACCAGTCCCAGATCCCGGGTGGGGTCACCTCCCAGCCCACTTGGGGGGAGGGGGCTTTGCTCCATTTCCAGCCAGCTTCCAGGACAGGTAGATCTGAGCTGCCCCGTCCAAACATCCTCTTCCTCGTCTGGAGACTAGAGGAGCTAAAAATGCATCACTCAGCCCCAGGAAAACAAACACCGAGCTTCCCTTGCCTTTGTATACAGGACACGAGGCCCAAGGCGGCAGAGGCAGTGTGCAGGGATCCTCCAGGCTGCCCTAGGCCTGGGGGGGTCTGTCTGTCTGTCTGCCTTCCTGGGTCTCTCTTGCCTCCCCGGGTACAGCCACAGTGGCCAGAGGCTCACCAGTGTGTGGGGGTCTCCAACAGAAGTGGCCGGGGCCCTGTGTGAGGACCTCCTCCCCTCCACGTGACGTGCCCGCAGCCGTCCCAGCCCTGGGCTCCTCTCCTAGCCCTGTCTCTGGAGCTCACAGGTGGGTGTGTGCGTGCGCATGCGCCTGAGGCTTGGAGTATTAACAATGATCATCCTGGTAACTAACCAACGTGCGTGCAGTGCTCACTCCGTGCTTTCAACACTGAGGATGTGTTAACTCCAGGAGGTAATCGCTATTGGTATCCACATCTTACAGATGAGGAAACGGAGGCTCAGAAAGGTGAAGTAACTCGTTCAAGGTCACGGGCTAGGAAATGGTTACAGCAGGGTTCGAACCCAGGCAATCTTTGATGGGAAGGCGAGTCCCTTGTCCCCTGCAAGCCTCAGTTTCCTCACCCATAAAATGAGCACCGACGTACCTCCCTTCCCCGGGTGAGGGTGGGGGTGGCAGCAGGCCAAGGGCAGGACAGGGAGGGGGTCTGGGGGAGCTGACTACAGCTACATGGTGTGGGGGTAGATCGTGTACTCTGCCATCATATGGCCTGGGGCTGGGGCCTTAGGCCACTTGTGGCCTGGCCTTGGACTGTCCCCAGTTTGGAGCCTGACTTGCCCCACCATCAAGCTGGGAAAGCAAACTGGCCTGGCACAGGTCCTCCAGGGCTCTCTCGGGAGAACGGGGATGCCCACTCTGCACTTGAGGGCCCAAGTCTGTCCCCGGGAAGGAAGCCAGCTCCTTTCTTGGCCCTGGGCCCCTGCTCCCAGGGTATGAGATGCTTTCGATGGAGGAGAACTTAGATTGCTCTAGACACACAGTCTAAAAAGCCCTGGCCTTGGGCAGACCCCTCAGCAATTAGCTGAGGTTTTCTGCTCGGCTCAGACATTTCAAGGGGGTGTGTGGGGGGGGGGCGGTGAGAGTTACGGGGTGTGGCCCTCTGCCCACATGACCAGCTCCCAGACCTCCCGGAAAGCCTGATTCCTCAGGGCCCCAGTGCCAAAGATGGGCTGGGATCTTCCCAGGTCTGTGCATTCGGGCTTAGGGGCTCATCTTACAAGCCCCCTCCCCAACTCTTTCCAGCCCTCAGGCAGGGCCTGGCATCTTTGCACCAAAAGGCCAGGACTCAAGAGGAAGAAAGAGGCAAGATTTTTACTCAGTGATCCATTCTTTTGCAGACATTTATTGAGCAACTGCTGTATGGTGGGAGCTGGAATGAGGTCCTCGTTCACCTGGATCTCAGTCTAGTGCTAGATCGATAAACGGGCAGTGACAATACCACGGGGCACGTGCTGTGGGAACCGAAAGCCAGCACCAAGCCCAGGGGGCTTCCTGGAGGAGGTGCTAAGTGGAGTCTCATAGGAGGAAGAGGAGGAGGTGTTCTTTAGAGAACCGCTTGTGTGGAAAGACGCCCACGCGGTCATGGCGGCTGCAAGGAGAAGGTACAGGAAAGGGTACATGGCATTCAGACCAGGTGCCATGTGGTCCCTGCGGCCTCGGCTATCCTGTCCTGTCCTGCCACTTCTAACAGTGCACAAAGACATCTGGATTGTCCCGAGTATGTCCATCTCACTCGAGAGCCTGGGAGGTCCCAAAGTGCCAGCCCCGGGTCTCCTTTATTACATTTCCACCCAGGGCTGGCATACAGTAGGCGCTCAGTGATGCTGCTCCCAGGAGCCAGCCTGCTTTGCATCCCTTCCCTGAGGCTGAGCTGTGCGCTCCCTCCTTTGTGCCCCTACGGCCCTTCCTTCGTGTGTCAGTCAGAACTCCTATGGACACAGCCCCGTCAGCCGGCAAAGCCCTTGTACGCATATTAACGCGTTTGGTGTTCACAACAGCCCTGTGTAAGATGTGTCATGATTATCGTCGTCAGCCGTCACCTGCCAGGAGGCAGCACAGCATGGTGGCTTAGGCGTGAGGGCTCTGCAGCTGGAACACGTGGGTTTAGGTCCAGGCTCTATCGCTTACCGGCTGTGTGACCTTGAACAAACTGCTTAACGTCTCTGGGCTTCAACCTCCCCATTTGTAAGAGAGGAGTTAACATCCCTCGCGGGAGCACTGAGACGCCACGTGCAGCATAAGAACACTGCCTGCTACACAGTCACCTCAATAATAACGGTAGCTATTCTCACCTCTTTTATAGACAAGGATACAGAAGATCAAGGGCAACATCACCTAGCGGCCCCGTGGTTTTATCTCTAAGTCTTTAGGCTTCCCGTTTTGTGTTCTGGGATTATCTTCGCACCCCACCCCCCAATCTCCCTTGTCACCCTGTCTCCTAATTTATCTGTTTATGCATCTGTCTGGATGATCAGACAGACCTTCTACGATCTTCTGGATCGGGACTCCTCCAGGCCAGAAGCCCGCGTTAGCATTGCGCTGTCCCCCCCATGCCTGGAAGAGCGCCTGGCTACCAGGGAACAGTCAAAAATCTGTGTTGAAGGAACGATGCACTCCATGTGCCAGGCGTCGTGCTCAGTCCTTCCAGATGGATCATCTCATCGGAGCCTCCAGACCACTGTATGAGGTAGTTAAAAATTCTGCAACCGTATCGAGGTACAATAAACTCTGCACGTATCAGTTCTGACATGCGTATATCCCCGTAAACTCATCATTACCAGCAAAGCTGACAAACATTCCTATTGCCACTAAAATTTCCCCATGCCTCCTTGAAATCCTCCTCTCCCTCCAATAGGAGATTTATTTCCAGTTTATAGCGGAGGCAACCACGGTAGTGAGAGGTTAAGCTTCCCAGGGACACTTGGACAGCAAGGGGCCGCACCGGGATTTGAACCAAGGTGACCTGCCCGCAGCCTACCTCTCGGCCACTGCTGCCTAGGTGGTACCGGGCGGAGGGTGGGTGCTTGTGGCTGTCTGTAAAGAGGCCTGTCTGGGAAGTCCTCCCTCCTCTGTGCCACCCTCGCTTAGGTCCAAGAAGATGGCTTATGAAGAGACAGCGGGGTGCCTGTCTCCGTGTCCGAGGTGCGAGGAGCAGGCTGGCATCCCAAAGGGATGTGTGGGGTCCAAAGGGCAGGCGACGGGGACATTGCGAGGGGACCGGATAAAGGTGTCCTAGAGCCAGGAGCCGGGCGATGCAGGGAGCCTGCGGGTCCCGTGGTGGGTGCGGGGCTTGGCGTGCACGCGTGCGACTCTGTGACTGTGACCGTGTGACTGCTGAAGGCAGGGACTGGGGCAGGCAGCTCTCGGAGGAGCTGGGGGCGGAAGGCGTTAACCGTGTGAATGCTGGCGTGGGTGCCCCGCCCCCCCCCTCCCGGGGTCCCCAAACCTGCTGGCCGAGGGCGGAGTAAACAGGAGGGTGGCTGCAGGAGCCGTGATGGCCGCCCTGCAAGGATGCGGCAGGGTTGTGGGGATTTGTGTGACTTTGCAGTTCAACAAATTCAAACCCAGCCAATGCTGGCAGCGCCCGTTGTGTGCCAGGCAACCAGCTAGGAGGCGGAGACACGGGCCCAGCTTTCAGCTGAATGGTGCCGGCTGTGGGGTTGGTGCGGCTGGCTTGGGGCTGGGTGCCTTTTGGCCTCTCGGGCATGAAGTCCTCGCAATAACCCTACCCGGCTTGGAGACTAACTAGATGGAAGAGCACCGAGAGGAAGTGACTTGCCCAAGGTGACCCAGCTACTCAGCGCCAGGGCGGGATGCGAACCGAGCTGCAGAGCCGGAGTCCTTCGCCCCCTATGCCTGTGCCGGGATGCAAATGCCGTCCTTGGGGCTGCGGGTCTGGAGTCCTGGCGGCGGCCCTGCAGACGACTCCCCAACCACGTGGGCTAGAAATCAGGCCACGGTCACTGTGCTAAGGGGCGGGGCGCTCAGTCGCCCCTAGTTCTCCCTTCGCCAGGGCCGGGCTCCCGGCCGGAGGGGCTGCGGAGCTCTCAGAGACCCCTGAGCGCCCCGCCCCCGCCTCAGGCCCTCCCGGAGCTCCCCCCCCTCTTCCCGGTGCTGACTCTCGGCCAGAAGAGGAAAGGCAGTCTCCACCCACCTCTCGCACTCTCCCTTCTCCTTTATAAAGGCCGGAACAGCTGAAAGGGTGGCAACTTCTCCTCCTGCCGCCGGGAGCAGCCCGCCTGTCTCCCCGCGCGCCCGCAGCCTCCCCCAGGGCTCCCCTCTGGCCGCCAGCGCCCATCTTTCATTTCCGAGATTGCGATATTTTGCGCACACACGCATACACACACGCGCAAAAAGGGGGGGGGGGGGAAGGCCCACCCTCCAGCCTCGCTGCAAAGAGAAGCCGGAGCAGCCGCAGCTCACAGCCCGCAGAGGACGCCCAGAGCGGCGAGCGCGCAGACAGACGGACCGACGGACTCGCGCCGCGTCCACCTGTCTGCCGCGCCCGGCACTGCGCGCAGCGGGCACGCCGCGAGCGCGGAGCAGCCGTGCCCGCCGCCCGGGCCCCGCGCCAAGGCGCACACGCTCCGGCCCCCCCCACCCGGCCCGGGCGGGAGTTTGCACCTCTCCCTGCCCGGGTACTCGGGCCGCCGCTGCAGAGCCAACTTTGGAAAAAGTTTTTTGGGGGAGACTTTGGCCTTGAGGTGCCCGGCTCTGCACTTTCCGACTTCGGGGGCCTTTCTAGAAAATGTTGCAAAAAAGCTAAGCCAGCGGGCAGAGGAAAACGCCTATAGCCGGCGAGTGAAGACGAACCATCGGCTGCCGTGTTCTTTTTCCTCTTGGAGGTTGGAGTCCCCTGGGCGCCCCCACACGGCTAGACGCCTCGGCTGGTTCGCGACGCAGACCCCCGGCCGTGGATGCTCGCTCGGGCTCGGGATCCGCCCAGGTAGCGGCCGCGGACCCTGGTCCCGCGCCCAGGCCCTCCCCAGCCCCCCAACGACGGAGCCGGGGCCGGGGGCGGCGGCGCCCGGGGGCCATGCGGGTGAGCCGCGGCGGCGGCTGCAGCGGCCTGAGCGCCTGATCGCCGCAGACCCGAGCCGAGCCCACCTCCTTCCCCAGCCCCCGCCCCCCACCCTGGCCGCGGGGGCGGCGCGCTCGGTCCACGCGTCCGGGGCCCCGCGGGGCCGGGCCCGGAGTCGGCATGAATCGCTGCTGGGCGCTCTTCCTGTCTCTCTGCTGCTACCTGCGTCTGGTCAGCGCCGAGGTGAGTTGCGACGGCGGCTGGGGCTGGTTCGCTTCATTCATTACGCCCACCCTCACCCCCTGGCCGCCCCCTCCTCTCCCTGCAGTGAACTTTGGACCCTTGCAGCCCACGGGCCTAGCGCCGGGCGCTACGTGACCTCCGAGGGCTGGGACGCGAGGTGCGGGAGGTGCCAGGCTCTGAGGGGAGGGGGCGGGGGTGGCTTGCTTTCCCATGGGCGATCCCAGATCTCCGGCCCTTTTAGCGTCGGGGGAGCGTGTGTGTGGCCCTGTCCCCCACCCCTCAGGAACCTGAAGGGAGAGAGAGTGGGGGTGGTGCCGAGGGTGCAGAGGCCAGCGCGTTCTCCCGAGCCCACTTCGGTTCCAGCCTAGGTTCCGTCCAGGACCCGGCTTGCACGGGAGGTGCGAGCTCGCGCACCTGTGGCAGCCACGCCAACCTTGCGCGGGCGGTTGTCTCCCCACCCTGGCTCCGGCTCCCGGTCGGGACGGGCGCCCTCGGGCCAGCGCAGGGCTTGCCCGCCCCGGAGCGGAGTCCAGCAGCAGCTGGCGCCTTGGGCGCGGGGGGTGCCGAGAGACAGAGGTTTCGGGCACTCGGGAACTGGGGGAGGAGTAGAGCCTTTTAAGGAATCCAGCCCTCGGGGCGGGTGTGTGCCCCAGGCCCCGCCAAACCTGCGCCCGCGCCCTGCGAGGGCAAGCGCCTCTCTCCCCCGCTTGCAGGGTGCGGAGCGCGCCTGTGAAAGCGTAGCCGCAAGGCAGGTGGGGTGTAAAAACGTCTGCGGGAGCTATTAGGTCGGATCTGTAACCCCCACCCCCCCACCCCTCCCAGCCTCACGTAGCAGTGAGTTGGCAAGTCCACCCGGAATCCAGGTGGGAAAGGGGGCGGGGCAGGGAGGAAGCGCGAGGTGGAGGGGAGGAGAGTGCGGCCGGGAGCGCGGCGTGCCTGGGTCCCGTCCCGCCTCCGCGCGGCCGGGAGCCCGCACCTCGCCCGCTCGCGAGGAGGGCCGCCCCCCCCACCCACCCCGCCGGGCGTCCAGCGAGGCGCAGGAAGGAGGCGGCGGCGGCGAAGGGGTTAAGGTGAAGGGCTCCGAGGCCGCGGCCAGACCTTGGGCCGCCGCCAGCGCAGGTTGTTTTGACCACAGAGGAGCCGTCGCCGTCTCCTTTTGTTCTCGGGGCTCCTCGAGGGCCGCCGGCCGCCCGCCCTGGGGCCCCGCCCTTCCGCGGCCAACCCCCCGCGGTCCGCACCCGGGAGGGAGGCCGCGGGGCTCTCGGCCCGGTAGCCTGCAGGCCCCTC